CATTCCCCTGTGGGCTCTCCAATAAAACCAGTCCTCCATTAACTGCACCCAGAAGTCCTATGAAGATCATTATGCTGAAGACAAACACCGAAACGATCTTTAAACTTGACCAGTATGGATTTCTGTGAGATAAATCAGGCCCCCCGCTGGAGTGATGAGGCGGACTTGCAGAGGCAATTATAAACAAGGAAGACTCAGCGTGTAATGACTTCCATGACATTTCCAGCTGTTTTTCAGATTTAGTGCTAGGTTGCCCTGTGGGCCTTCTAAGAGATGTCACTGCTCTGCTGGACCTGAAATCCTCCATAGGGTAGAGCCATTAACTCAATCATGAGCTCATCTGCTTGTTAGTGCAAGATCTGGAAAGCAGGTGTGTGTGTATGTGTGTGTGTGTGTGTGTGTGTGTGTGTGCGCGTGCTTTAGTGCCTTAGCAAAGGGCAGCCCTCAGACGACCAAACATCACTCACGCGTTCTCTTCATAAGGCCAAAAAAAACAGAGGGCAGCTTCATATCACCGATCAGAAACGTTCAGCTATTAGCATTCAGGTGACAGGAAGCTTCTGGGCAGCATAAAGACAGCACTCTGAAGCCGAGAGAACCACATCAAGCTGGGCTTTTAGTGGCCCGAGCGGAGGAGGGAGAGAGGCAGAAGCGGGAACGCTGAGGACGGCTGAAGCAGCATGCGGCGAAAACCTGGGAGACGACGTCCACGTGTTAAAAGGGAGGGGGGCGATTTTAGCAATAAGCCCCTCAAGCCTATCCACAGACAGAACCCCACCCAGGGCCACCCCCTCGAATACAGGAGGGCTCACACATCCATGAAGTTGACCCCGTGCACAAAAACATGGACTAACAGCAGAAACAGTGCTTGGCAACACAGGTGGGAGAAGGCCACAGAGAACGTTCCGGGGTTCTGGCAGGAAGCGCTGGCTTGTGGTACCAATATTCCATTCAGTAATCACTGCTCACATTTCAGGCTATAGATCAGTATTGAAATTTTTTTATTTAAATAACAGGGACCTGATCTACCAAGTGACCGAAGTTCACAGAACAGTTCTGGAACTGTCCTGGTGCGTTGAAGTTTGGTCTGAAAGAAATCTTTTCCCGCCGGTCATATGCGAACACGGACTTCATGAGCCTCAGCTGGCTGCCGTTTGAGGTTCAGACGCTGTAATTTCTGTGGCCAGGGGACTGAATGCATTTTCGCAAAGCTTAGTTTATCATCAATCAACCTGTCAAACTCCACTGAAAGTGAACGAGAAAGACAAGGTTTCCAAACGCATTCCTGGTGCGATGTTTATTTTGGGGAATTTTTCTTACCAATGGTCTAAAACATAGAAATATATTGCTTATAAAGCCCTCCCTGTATGCTGGGAACAGGCCATGCCATGAAACACACACCCCATTGGTCCATCTGTAGATCTGTCATCATGTCGTCCATCTCCATGACCCCTGGTTGGCTCATCCACAATCTCAGGATCAGGATAGTTCCCTGTCTGTGTTCCAGAATGCAGAGACTCTGTGAAGCTTCATCATGGACAATGGTCTGGAGGCTGTAGATCCACTGGATTCCCAATTTACTCTACACCTACTGGCAGATCATGTTGAGGTTGGGTCCACAGCAGCACGCATTAGAATTACCTTTGCATCCGATCCACCGTGAAAACCATGAGCGCCGTCGCTACGCTGGGAAACAAGAAAAATATTTACCCGCCTCCATTGCTCCCTTGATTGGTGTCACATGGCCTGAACGGCCTCCAATAGGCTGACTCCCTGAAGGGGACGCAGTCACGGGGGGTCTGTGGTCTGGGAGAGGAGCGCAAAAAAACCACAGAAGAATCTCTCGGTCAAATTAACCATTTGATTTCACGCATTCGTCCCATTTCCGTGGTATAACTGTCTAGCGATCCATTGCTCCTGTGTTACATTTAAGGCAGGAGTGGGGAGAATCAGGGCTCGGGGGGGGGTCTGGGTTATAGGGGGCAGCAACAGCATGAGTTACGAGTGACATCCCCAAATTTCAGCGTTCGCCTTGCTGTGAAGTCTGCCTTTGCTCAGCCTGTTCCGGAGGAGACCCATTAAGGACAGGCTCTCATAAATATGCATTGCCGGTGAGCCTGTTCCTAATTTGCGTCAGATCATAATCGGATTTAGATCCTACCAATGTGTGTTGAATTGCTATAACTGCCAGCCATTCAGGCTCTGGGCCTGGACAACCGAAGAGAGCGACCTCATGCGGAACCCTCTGGTACAGGTCAAACGTTTCACTGGGGACACAAATGGAGGGCAGCACATATTTCAGTGGAAAAGTTTAGCATTTTTGCACCTTTTAAAGACACTTCAAAGTTGGGTTTTTGGACCTCAGCTAGGAGTCTGTACAGTTTCTCACAGTCCAACTGCATTGATACAACACAGTAAATAATGTAATCTAGCAAAGAATTATTCAGGTTATTATGAAGATAAACGTTCAATTAGGAGCTCACAAAACATTCGTTAAAAAATAATCTTTCCCTGTCGATACTGATGCTATGAGCTCACACACTGAAGCTCACATCCATCATCCTGAATCTTGATTAATTTAGTGAGTTCCCGGCCCCCCGCGCTATAGATTCTCCTCCCCGTCCAACAGATATGCTCCATAAATTAAGCCGCACAGCCACACTGCCCTTATGTGCGTCACACACGCAGAGAAAACTCCATCTCCCCGCAACACGAGGCTCTCCTTCCCCGGAGCGTCGCAGCCAGGGGAACATCCACAAATATCACGCCTCATTTCGTCAGTAGTTTGCTTTATCAGCAGCAATCCCCCACATTGCACCAGAGAGCCATGTTCGACAGAGAACAGACTCCAAATGACACCCCACGCCCCTGAAACGAACATGCTCTGGGACGCCAGAAACACGTAAATCAAAACGGATGGTTTTAATGTCGAGCTCTTTAGCTGGGGATCTTCTGCGTTTTTCTGGAGTCCAGTATTACCATCGGCCAAGAGACACGGAGCAGGAATTCTGTGACATTCGGGGGGTGACGGGAGCCAAACTGGCACCACGACTCGTTTGGGTCCCCCCTGACCGCCCCGAGAACAGACAAATCCCGTTCGTGCCTCAATCCCATCCAGTGCGGATTTGCTTGAGTCTTTTGATCGACAGTATCAGATTGCACTCAAAGTGAAACGTTCAAAGAATCCTCACAGATGAAAGTGAAAGGGGGGGGGGTGTCTTTTGGCTTATAGCTTTGTTTTCCTAGAGAGAGTAACGTGCCCCTCTGTTATTGGTTTTATCCCCCTGGGGTGGGTGGGGGGGGGGCCAAGGCGGCCCATGTGTTGGTGAAGCGGGGACATCTGCTGTATCTGTCAGCCTCGGGAGCCGGGTACGTTTGTCCCGCAGCTGTGGGGACAGGTGTCCACTTTGAAGTTCATTTGGGGGGAGGGTGGGGGCGTTTGGAAAGGGGGAGGGGCGGGGGGAAGGGTTGTGCGGCTGCAAAAGTCGCTTCCACAGATCCCCCCCCCCCGGGCCCGCTGCTCAGACACAACAGAGTGCTTAACAGACATGCAGACACCTTCCAGCGCCACCTGCAGACTCACGCCAGCAACACAGCTCACATGCCAGGGACACGTGTCCCATCAGGCCTAAATAGGTGTGTGGTTCAGCAGGTTAGGACTCCTATGCCTATGATCAGAAGGTCGCCGGTTCAAATCCCAGGGTAGGCTGACAAGGCCCTGTTACTCCAGAGACTGTTTAACCATGCTGTCTCAGTTGTACGTAACTTTGGATAAAAATGTTTGCTAAACAAACAAAATGTACATGTATAAAAAATGCCGTTTGAGTGTGAGGCACATGCACTCCCCACTGCGGGAGCATCATCCGCTGTGGGATTGTGGGTAGTAAAGGCTTGCTAAGCTCTAGTTGGCCGGTAATCCCACCACAAAATGCAAGCCATGCGTATTTCACGTAGGCGTCTCTCCAACAGATTCCAGAAGATCTTCCAATCTCCTCTGCCAGCTGGTCCACAACTACACGGCACGGGGTGACACAGTCAACAGCGTCAAATGGCGAATTTATGATGCCCCCACCCTCCCCCAGGAGCACCCCCGCAGCAAGAAGAGCACCCATCCCTATAACATGAACCCAAGCTGGGGGCAGTTTTGTCAGGGCAAATGCTAAATTCATAGTCAGCGAAGTAGATGTCTCTGGAGTGTAGGATACATGAAGGTCTCCAAGGTAACGACCACCTGGAAGCAGACTCACTTCACAAACGTGGTCATTGGAGATGGACACACGCAATGGGCTTCTCACTCCTCCTGGACCTAATCGGGAAGACCGCCAGGCCGTCTGGAACCTTCCGTTTCATACTCAGCACCCCAATCATCATTTTAACTGCACAACAAGAGCAGCAAAACTGCGAGTAAGACCATAAAAGCCCATTTTACGGCGGACATAACCACACTGTAAAACAAAAGGCACCGCGCTGTCGTCTGAACATCGCAGCGATGTTACGGCTTTCTGTTTACATGCAATAAAAACTTGTTTTTTTGCTAAATGCACCCACATGCTGCAATTAGAAGTGCAATAAAGATGGATATAATTGCTAATTTTAAAAGGGGGTCCCGTAATAATCATTATAGCCGCCATTGTGTCCCTCTCATCTCCGATACAAATGGCTGACTTACAACAGGAAACAAGCGAGCTGAAAGTTTACACCAAGAATGCGATATAAATTTATAATTAGTGCGGCATCAGCGCATTCGTCTTGATCTGGTAAGCTGGCACTAGAAAACCCCTCAGTCAAAAAAAGTTAAATATGTAACCAATCAAGGATCCTTCTGTATGACCTCTCCAGAAGTAATTCATCAACAAAACAAAATTATAAAAGGAGACTGGCCTCCTGTCCAGAGTGAACCATGTACCCTACTTTGATTGGGATGGATGGATGGATGGATGGACGGACGGATGGACGGAACAATCTCTGCTCGGCCCGGAGTTCAGTCAGCAGGAACGTACCTGCCGAAAACCACATGTGACATACTCGTCGAACACGGGCAGACTGGGCCGACTCTCTCGGAACACGTGCAGTGTGTAGATCGTCATGACGACAGGCTCCGACTCCGACTCGTCCACCACCAGGATGCTCACTCTGCTGCTGCCCAGGCCGACGGGGTAGCTGGCCTTGCTGTGGGGAACAGGGGGGGGCTCTCAGGCCCAGTCACACTCACAAAGCCAGTCCCCCCCCCAACCCCACCCAGTCCCGAGCTCTATTCTGTTATTATTCTGTTCCTGTACACTTCATCAGCAGGTTCTTGATTGCTGAATTCAGGTGTGCATGGGGGGGGGGGGGTATATCACCCAAAAAATCATGCCTGAGTTCACCTTATAAATACACCACTGTGCATTATTACACTCAGTACTTAATGTAGAATGGTAATGTAACTCCTACTTCTCTACATTAAAGGACATTCTTATCGGTAATCTGGATGCTATTAATACTTCTTTAAAGGGAAACGTTATAAAGGAACAGAAGCTCAAATGATTAATGAACTGAGAAACGATTCAATAAGAAATAATGTGACCGTTAGAAGGTCAGAGGCTCGTAAGCTGCCAAAATTACAGACATCAGAAACAGAAACAGGACACATCCTGCGCAACAGGACACATCCTGCCCAACAGGACACATCCTGCGCAACAGGACACATCCTGTCCAACAGGACACATCCTGCGCAACAGGACACATCCTGCGCAACAGGACACATCCTGTCCAACAGGACACATCCTGCCCGGGATGCCATGTGCTTCATAGGAG